TGTGGCCACACAATGAAAACAAAGCTTTCTTTCCCCATTTGTTTGAGTTAAGAATAAAATGCTAGTAACACAGCCCTTTTGATTATACACCAAGCACAATGACACTTCCTGTTCATGTGTCATGGTCATCAAAGCTAGCAGTGAAATACAAGCTCTTTGACTAGGAAGGATATATTTGCGGGTATATTAATTTTGGGTATGCAATGTGAACTGTAACAACTGTTTGTTTGAGCATGTCTCCATACTCCTTGGCACACATTTGGAATGTTCTCTGCGCTATACTTTTCCTTTGTTTAACTTTAGATATGGAACCATCCTGATGTGCTGTATGAAGCCCTTCAGAAGGAAAACCTAGCCAATGAGCAGGACCTGGATGTGGAAGAACTTGGCTCAGCAGGGACTAGTGCCCGCTGCCCACCACATGGCACAAAAGTCAAGGGAGAAGATAGTGCCTTGCCTTCCTCAATGGGAGAAGCAACCAACAGCAAGTTCCTACAGGGAGTTGGCTTTAACCCTTTCCAGGAACGGGGCAATAACATTGTTACATATGAATGGGTGAGTTAAGCAGAGCCTTCAGTAGCCATAGCTGCTTCTGAGGAGGGATGGTGACGACCAGCCTGGGGAGAGGACAGTGTACACACGCACTGCACTGAGAGGAACTATGAAAGAACTCTAAAGCAAGTTACCAGGCCACACTGCCTTAGCGGAAAGAACTTTATTTCTAACCATTTAGCCTTGGATATGCCCCAATCTTCCTTGCTTCTCTTCTTCAGGCCAAGGATCTTCTGACTAATTATCAGACTGGAGTCCTGGAAAACTCTCCCAAGATGGTCCTTCTTTTCCACCTGATTGAAGAAAGTGTGAAGCTTGGGGACAAGATTCTTGTATTTAGGTAAGAAGATGTTGACATCTGTAGGAAGGATGAGTGCAGCTTGTACAGAGGCAGACCATCGAGTGTCATACTTGCCCTTTGCCTTTTTTCCAGAGTGCTCTGTAACCAAGCACTTGTAGTTAGGGTTTTCTTACATCCCAGCACCCAACCCACAGAAAAGATTTAAAACTATGTATTGACATTAGAGATTATATTCTCAATATTCTAGTTAGTTTTTCAGACTGTGGCCCAGACCAAACCTGGCTAGCTTTTATTTTTTAATTTAGCATTTATCTATGCATTTACTTTGTTTATTTATGTTTAATTTTTTATTTTACTTTACTTTAAATTTGTGGTGCTAGGAGTTAGGCCTGGGACCTCATTCATACTAGGCAAGCACTCTAGGCTTGGCAGAAAATGCCTTTATGTGCTAGGTGTCTTGTCAGCCTTCTTTAGATTTTTGAGACAGGGTTTCAATAGCCAGGCTAGTTTGAATGCCTGACTCTTCTACCTGCATTTGCCAAATGATGGGATTATAGGTATATGCCACCACCCCTGGTGTTATTTTTTAAAACTTTTTAAAATAGAGTCTCATTAAGTTGTCTGTTATCTGGGCTGATGTTGAATTTACTCTGAAGCCTACGCTGGCCTTGAATTTGTACTCCTCTTGCTTCAGCCTTCCACAAAGGTGAGATTACCAAGCCCAACTAGGCACACTTTTTTTTTTTTTAAATACACTTTTAGTCTTGTAAAAAGAAATGCAAAGATTAAAGAGTATTTGTAGTCAGCCAGGTGTGGTGGCTTTTAATCCCAACACTTGGGAGACATAGGCAGGTGTATCTCTGTGAGTTCTAGGACAGCTTGGTCTATATAGTAAGTTCTAGCACAACCAGGACTATGTAGAGACCCTGTCTCCAAAAAAAAAAAAAGACAAAAACCAAACATACACAAACAAAAGGACCTATATATGGCCTATAAAGCCTAAAATGTTTTCTGTTTTGCCCTTTATAGAGCGCGTTTGCTGATCCTTCTTTTTTCACTCTGCCTTTTTTAAAATAAGGTTTTGCATATAAGGCTAAGATAGTGATGTGATTTTTTTGCCAGGGTCAATCTGACTGGGGCTTTGAGTCTCATCAAGACCTGACTATATGCAAGGAAACAGACCTAAAGTAGATTGCTTTTAGCCACAGTATACCCCAAGTACCCTGATTTGGAAGCGTCAGGTGAGGGCTTCCACATGTGACAGTTGGTAGTGATTCAAGCCTGTCTTCCTCATTTTCATAATGCTTTTCAATTACTCAGCTCTCTAAATGTCTTGAAAACAGTCAAGTGGCTCTGTCTCCATAGGAAGATACTTGAGATTGCCTGTGGTCCGCAGTTAGACTCATTTGTATCTCCATGTAGACTGCACTACTGAATACTACTGAGCACTGAGTTAAACCCACAATTTTCAATTGAGAGATTAAGGGATCAGAGAAATAGTTATTTTGTTTGTTTCATTTGTTTGTTTGTTTATTTGGCTGTTTTCTGTTTTGTTTTTATGGGTTGGTGCTCATAAATACAGGAGTTAGGGAGAATATCTTAGTTGGTTAATGGAGTTCCATCTCAGGGGAGTAGGTTGTGAACTCTGTTTAGAAGGTTGCACAGGAGTATGAGAACACGTTCCTTAGGGCTTGGGAGCCATCTGAATCACCTTTTTCCTTTCAGCCAGAGCCTCTCTACCTTGGCTCTCATCGAGGAGTTCCTAGGGAAGCGAGACATGCCTTGTCTGCCCGGTGCCGAGGGACAAGGAACACAGAAGTGGGTTCGAAATGTCAGCTACTTCCGTGAGTTTATTGCTACTTTACTTCTGGAGTCTTGGCAAGATCTATTAAGGGCTTTCTTTCTTTCTCTTCTCCAACTCCATACTTCTTCAAGTGTATAAAAATATGTGATTAGCCAAGAAATAGGGAGATATTGAGAACCAGCTTTTAAGAACCAGTACTAGGGCTAGAGAGATAGCTCAAGTACTGGGGTCAAAGCATGTGTCACCAAAGCATGTGGAATCAAAGCTGGATTCTAGGAGGCCAGAGCCATTGTGTAGCAGTGGCTGGAGGAGCCTTTTGGGAGAGATGAGAAGAACTTGAAAGTTTAGAACCACTTCGGTTCAATGACCATCAGGGTCAAGTGAATATAAACCTAGGTCATACTTTCTCTATGGGGGAGCTCTTTCTCTATGGGGGAGCTAAGTACCCCCAAGAATGAAAGTTTGTGTGATGGGGGAGGGGAAATCCTTTTTTCAGATGTATAACTTATAGTTATACATAACTATGTATATATTATATCTATAATATTTATATTCATGGAAGACATGATGTGTTGGGTAAATTGTGGGGTCCTGTGTCTGCCTCGACATGGGACTAGGGCCCCCCCTGCTCAGGGAAGCGAGACTAGGGAGTTTGACGGCACTCACTCTACGCCAGTGCCGGGCGGGCATCAGACTATGGGAAGCCGTGGACCGCTCTGCAGTTGGGGGAGCACAGTCTGAGGTGGGGGGGGGCAGAGCTGGCTGGGTGATCCCCAGGCCAAAAGGTGGTCAGGGACTGACTGGTTCTCAGGCTCTTGGGCACCCAGGCCCAACTGGAAGCCACCAGAAGAGCCGAGAACAAAGTGGGAGCCATGGGCTGGATTGGCCCACAGCCAAAGCTCTGAGAGAGGGGGGAGAGAAGCTCCGGCTTTGCCCAGCTGGGAAGAGAGCCTTTGGTTTGGCACGGTGGTCGGTGGTTGGCGGTTGGCTTGCTTGGATTGTTGGCCGCTGTGGCTGGGAATGCAGAGAGGTCTTCTGTGGGAGATTAGACAGAGGCTCTGTAGGCGAAGGCCTTCTCCATTGCTCCTCACATCGGATCCTGATGAAAAGAAGCAGTCCATGGTTTTAAGATGTTTATTGTCATGGTGGAAAGTAGATGATAAACTGTACCCCAGTTTCTTAAGGCAGGCCTGAGGTTAAATACCTTTTGCAGGGAGGAGGGTCTGTAAAGGAAAGCTTAATTGGCTACACCCTTCTGGCTTAGGTACCTCATTAATACGGAGATCTGTCTTGAAAAGACACAAATCTATGGAGGGCTGCGGCCTCCTGTCAGGAGCCTGGGGGCATGGCCAAATGCCTGCCATCCCTTAAGATCACCTGGGTTCCATCTGGGGCCCCTCAGGATCACCTGGGTCTCTGGTGGTTTCTAGCCTGTGCTCAACCAGAAACCAGGCTGCCTTTCAAGGTCCTACAATGTTGATTAAGAAAAGGTATCTAAAAGGATTCCTTAAGTGCTAATAAAAAATAAAATTTCAGAAATACCATGATAACATTTGGGCCAAACTTTGGCTATAGGTGTCTGACATGTCTATTATAGGATATTCAGTAATATTTGTGGTTTTTTTTTCCCCAACTTGATGTCAATAGCATCTTCAATTTTGAGAACTAAAAATGTTCTGTCATTGCCCAATTGTTCCCTGGAAGTATGAGGGTGGAGTAATTACCCTTTGAGAATCACTGGCCTAAAGAATTGATGTACAGAAATAAAGGTTCAGAGCTTGTATTTTCTCTAGGATTGTCCAATGGGACAGCAGTGAGCTGTATTTCAGTATTATAAACTCAGCTGGGAAGTAGACCGGGGTCCTCACTGAGAACACTAACACCAGGTAGCTAACCTGAGCTTCCTGTAGCAGTACTAAGTCAGCTGCCTGCCCAGCATCTCATGATTTGTCCTTTACTCAACCTGACAGACAGGTGGTGTCCCTCTCCTCTTACTTAAGTTGCTTCAGAAGGTGGTTGTTTCTTCCACTTGTGAAGTTTTGTCTTTTTGTTCTTAAAGAATGACAGGCTTCAAGTCTTGTTTGTTTGTTTGTTTGTTCATTGTGTTTTGAGACAGGATCTCACTATGTGACCATGGTTGGCCTGGAGCTCACGGTGTAGACTAGCCTGGCCTTGGATTTTTGTTAGGGATCATTCTACCTCTGCTCCTCAGTGCTGGGATTAAAGTTGTGCATCACCACACCTGAGCCCTATGGTTGTTTGTTTGTTTGTTTGTTTGAATTTTTGTTGTTGTTGTTTTATGTTGTCTTATAGCAAGTTCTTATCATCAAGAGCTTTAAAAGTGCTCGCTTTGGCAGCACATGCTAAAATTGGAACGATACAGAGAAGATTAGCATGGCCTCTGCGAAAGGATGACACACAAATTTGTGAAGTGTTAAAAAAAAAAAAAGAGCTTAAAAAAAATGAGTGTCTTTCTGGGCTTGGTGGCACATACCTATAAAGCATTTAGAGGCCAAGGTAAGATGCTTGTGAGGTGAGAACTAGCCTGGACTATATAGTGACACTGTTTAAAAGGAAAACAAAACCCTTTCAAGGAAGAGGACTGGTAGAAGAATGCTGTCCATATTAAAATACAAAATCCTTAGTGTTTTTGCACTCACTAGGAGTCCCAAATAAAGCTTACTGGCATCCTGAGCCAGAGTTTTCTAACTTCTGTGAGTTGAATGTTCTCTTAAGTCTAGAAACCTTTGCCATAATTCACTAGAGGTAAAAACATATTTATAGGGTTATTGTTGTTGTTGTTGTTTTTGAAGATGGGGTTCCTCTGTATAGACCAGGCTGGCCTTGAACTCTGAGATCTGCTTGCCTCTGCTTCCCGAGTGCTAGCATTAAAGGTGTGCCCACCACTGCCGGTCTGTATTTTATAGTACTGTGTTACATGTGAGAATTACTGAGTAGTTTAACAGTGCTGATGTCTAGGACATAGACCATAGGGCCATGGTATTTTAAAAATACACTTGTAGGGTTAGAAAGATGGCTCAGTGGTGCTAAGAGCTCATGTTGCTCTTGGAGAGGATCAGAAATCCTATTATCCATGTTAGGCAGGTTACAAACACCTGTAGCTCTAGGTCTGAGGGAATTTGATATCTGTGGCCTCTGCAGGTACCTATGCTCACATGCGTATACCCACACACAAACATATATACAATTAAAAAGTTTTTTTTTTTTTTGAAAACTGGAACATTTGCCCAGTGACTTTGCTGAGTTTCTCTGCCCTCATCTATTCACTTCTGTTTGTTTGTTTGTTTTCTTTCTTCCTAGGGCTAGATGGTAGCACCCCTGCCTTTGAGAGGGAGCGGCTCATTAATCAGTTCAATGATCCCAGCAACCTCACCACCTGGCTCTTCCTTCTCTCTACAAGGTGAGTTCATGCAATTTGCCATCTGGGCAGGTACCACAAAGGCTTATCTAAATCTGAGATGAGATCCGTTCAGCTTTGTAATTTGTTTTTTGAGATCAGAAAGGGAACCCCAGGAGAAGTTGTTATGAAGTTAGTCACCACAGTGTTATAAAGTTCTTTGAGACCTTCATTAATATTTGTCATAATTAGATATTCTCTCAGGAGTGCTCTATGGCAAGGAGTGTTTTATCACATTAGATAATGTGATTGATGTAAATAAGAATGCTTTAAAAAGAAAGTACCCAGTTTTAGCAATCAGGAGGCAGGAAGATTTTGAGTTTAAGGCCTTCCTGAGTTCTATCAGTGAGTCCTGCCTCAAAACAAACAAAACAACAAACCAAAACAAAAAAATAAATTTAAAGTGTGGTGTAACTATAAAAGATTGATGTTTTCTGCCAAGTACCTTGAAGGCTCTGTAGCTTTCTACCAAGAGAGTGTTCAACAGTAGAGGGGTTATTTTCCTCTTTGTTTGTTTCAAGTATGTTCTGATGTAGCCTCGGCTGGTGGTTAGCTCTTCCTAATCTTCCTGCCCCTACCACCATATATTGGGACCATAGGCTTGTGCTATCACTCCTAGTATATATGAGTCTTTCATCCCTCTTAGGTATTAAAGTAAAAATACTGCACACAGTTTATTACAGACATTTCCACTCATTAAGGCACAGCACTCTGGAGCTTCTTTACTGTTTGTAGGGCTTTACCTTTTACAGGGATGAAGAATTATAGAGACTGTTGAATTGGACATCAGGGTATATGCACTTCTCAATGCTTGAGGAACAAACAGTATTTATCAGGACATAAAAATTCTTGACTTGATTGTGCTTAAGACAAGGAGTGGTACTGGAGTAGAAGTCACAGAAGGCAAAGCTTCTGAGAAAACCATCTTTAAGACTAAGGGTTACATTTTGTTGGCTTATGTTTTCAAGGGCTGGATGTTTGGGTGTGAATCTGATTGGTGCCAATCGAGTGGTGGTATTCGATGCTTCCTGGAACCCTTGCCATGATGCCCAGGCAGTATGTCGGGTATACCGTTATGGCCAGAAAAAGCCCTGCCACATCTATCGACTTGTGGCTGATTATACTCTTGAAAAGAAGATCTATGACCGGCAGATCTCCAAGCAGGGCATGTCAGGTGGGCTATTTTCGAAGTTAGTCCAGATATACTTCTGTATCAGCTTCTGTCTTATAAGGGATCAAGGGTATGAGGGGAGGAGCAGGGCATTGGAACACAGATTGGCTTTGAGTTACAGAATACCAGAAGTTCTTCCCATATCATTCTAGTTCAAGTGATTAAGGAGGTGGACCTCAAATTGTGGAATGTAGGCTTAATAGGCGCTAGTAGTTTACCATGATGTTTCCGTTTTCCAGGCTCTTCTGTCTGTCTTTTGACCTTTGTATGTGGAAGGCTTCCTTATTGTCAATTAAACCACTTTCTCTGCTGACCTTTGTAGTTGTATTTTTAGACTTTTTGATGAGTGCTGTCTTTGTTCTTATCTCTTGCCTTCTAGATCGGGTAGTAGATGATCTAAATCCAATGCTAAACTTCACCCGGAAGGAAGTGGAAAACCTGCTGCACTTTGTTGAGAAGGAGCCAGCTCCCCAAACATCTTTGGATATAAAGGGGATCAAGGAGTCAGTCTTGCAACTTGCCTGCCTGAAGTATCCTCACCTCATCACCAAGGTAAGCTTCTCATGTATGTGAAGTCCTTAGTATGACAGACCCAGCCAGTGAAGGCTTGTTTGGTAAATCTGCTTCCTTCTGAAGTGGTATTTAATACACACAACTGGGACAGAAGTATCTTTTGCTGAGCCCAGCACCTTTGGTCATTGGAGTGTTGAGCTTAGTCAGCCATGTACAATATAATCTGACAACTGTGAATCTTCCTAACAGAAGGAGCAATGGGCGCTCTCTCTCTCTCTCTCTCTCTCTCTCTCTCTCTCTCTCTCTCTCTCTGTGAGTGTGTGTTGTGTATTTGAAACAGATACTAGGTAAGAGTTGTGAACTCTTATTTTTTTGTAAGATTTTAGTTATGTGTGGTGCGGTGTGCATGTGCATGCATGTGTGAGTGCATGCGTGTGCGAGTGCCTACACATATGAGTGCCAGGTACTTATGGAGCCCAGAGGTGTCAGATCCCCCTCACGCTGAGGTTTCAAATAGTTGTGAGCTGCCCAACATGGATGTTGGAAACTTAACTTAGGTCCTCTGCAAGAGTAATCTGTGCTCTTAACTCTTAATCAGAGGTTTTTTTTTTGTTTTTTTGAGACGGGGTTTCTCTGTATAGTCCTGGCTGTCCTGGAACTCACTCTGTAGACCAGGTTGGCCTCGAACTCAGAAATCCGCCTGCCTCTGCCTCCCAAGTGCTGGGATTAAAGGCGTGCGCCACCACCGCCCGGCTGACTCTTCTCAGTTTTTGAAGAGTGCATGTATGTGTTTTATATATGTGTGAATTCATGCATCCACCATGGCGTGGATGTGGAAGTCAGAGAACAACTTTGTAAAGTTGATTCTCTCCTTCCTGTATGTGCATTCTGGGAATTGAATTCAGATCACCAGGATTTATCTTACCAGCCCATAAACTACACTATTGACAGAACATGCTTGTTTGCCTTTAAGTAGGCTTTTGCCAGTGTTGGAGAGCATCAACATCTTCTTGGTTTCAAAATAAGGCTCACTATACATCAGTTGTATTTGCAAAAAGACTGGTAATTAAACTCAAATCCCCTGTGTCTCCAGGAGCCTTTTGAGCATGAGTCATTGCTCCTCAACCGAAAAGATCACAAGCTGACCAAAGCTGAGAAGAAAGCAGCAAAGAAAAGCTACGAGGAGGACAAACGCACATCAGTACCCTATACCCGCCCATCGTATGCGCAGTATTATCCTGCCAGCGACCAGAGCCTGACCAGCATCCCTGCCTTCAGTCAGAGGAACTGGTGAGCTGCTGAAGGAAGAGTCTGGCCACTCTGCACCAAACTCCTATCATTCAGTTCCTATTTCAAAGGGAGAATCTACAGCCTGTTCCTTGGCTGCTATAGAAAGGTCTTGCTCTTGGGTCAGGTGTCAGAGCAGTTCAGCTGCCCTAGTGCTCTGAGCGGCTCTGATTCTGGCATTGTTGACTGGAGAAATCAGCTGCTGGTTTTGCCTCTCAGAAGAACCTTCTGGGAGAATGGTATAAGATGGCTTTCTTATGGGCCAGCTTTGAGTCACATGGGAATGTGTACACACAAAGAGGGTGTCTTCCTCAGAAAGTTTACTGACAGGTAGGGTTGTTGAGATGTTCAGCAGATAGAGTACTCTGTATGCAAGCCTGAGGCCTTGAGTTCAATTCCTGGAACCTACATGTAAGCAGAAGGAGAAAACTAACTCTACATAAAGCTCTAACTTACACACACATGCTTTGGCAAGTATGTACCCACATAAACACATCAAGTACACACATGCACAATAATCATCATTTTTTCATTCATTATTGAACGTTTACTATGTGTAAAGCATTCACTCATAGTCTGGCAGAGTACATTTAAGTACAAAGAATCAATGAAGCCATTCCAAATCAAATGTAGGAACACTCTTGAGAAAGAGTACCAAATGGTCAAAATGTCTTGTGGTAGAAATACCAAAAAATATAATAAAATTTTAAAAGCTCAGGAAAAGTAAGTTTCTTCAGAAATCTGCAATCAGAAGAGCAAATGTGTTGCACACACACCTGTAATCCCAGCACTCAAGATGTAGAGGCAGGAAGAGAATTTAAGGTTATCCTTGGTGAGCTTGAAGCCAGCTAGTAATATGTAAGTATGGAAGTGGTGATGGGGGGGGGAAGACACACACACACACACACACACACACACACACACACACGGGGTCGAGGGGAGGGACAGACAGATATGCAGGTGGAGGGAAGAGGAAGATAGTGTAGTGGATGGATGGATATGGGTGGATGGATGGATGGATAGATGGGTGGCCATATCTTGGTCTTGAATCAGTGAG